TGCAGCCCTGGGCACTACCTTTGGGAGTTACTACGGGGTGCAAAAATAGCTGTCATTGCCAGCAGCCAGCACTGCTTGGTGCAGAACCACTGTCCAGGATGCAGCCTTTGAGATCAGAGGTTCTAGCTGTAACTATGAGTATCTTCTGATTTCAGATTTCTCAATAAGTGCTCATGAAACATATTTCAGCTACCCATATGCTAAATAAATCCAAACACACTTTAACATTAATTGATGAAAAGCTTTGAAAAGGGGACAAATATATTAACAAACCCACCTGACCCCAAAAGAAGAGATGGTAAAGCTTCATCCAGATTTGATGGACTAGAACATGGATGCTCAACCTTCGGCCTGTGAGACAAATGCAGCCCATGAAGCCAATACATTTAACTCACGGGGCTCCCCACAGGTTGGGAAATTTGGCAGTGGGGGAGCGGTGGCCATTAATACAGCCACTTCACCACCCACCAAAATTCCCAAGCCCCAAACCCCACACGCCCAGTTAGAGCCAGGTCCTGATCCCTTCCCCCTGGAAGGCTGGGCCACACATCCCTTTCTCCAGAGGGCTCGGTTGGGGCCAGCCACAAGCCCTTTTCCTCCACAAGACTGGACTGGAGCTGGGCGATGCCTCCTTTTTCCCCACAGGGATGGACTGGGGCCAGACCATACCCCTTTTCCCTCCCACAGAACCGAGCTATTCCCCCTTCTCTCCCTGGTGGGCCCAGGTAAAGCCCCATTCCCCCCTTGAGGGGCCAGGCTGCCCCTCAGCCCCACTACACATGGTCAGATGGCTGGACACGGACCATCTAGCCCAAGGTTGAACCAGGCACTGCCCATCCAGCCTGCTGAGGAAAAAGGCTGAACATCACTGGACTACAGCAGTGGTGCTTAACTTTTTGGCTGCACAAGGCAGAGGAGTGGCATGGACTCCATCTGTGGGTCCACCAGGCCCCAGGCCTGGCACCACCCCCTCCCTGCCCCATGGTCCAGGACTGGGCCCTGGAGCCCAGCACTGCTCTTTTCCTGCCCCACGCACTAGGATTGCGCCCCAGGGGCCTAGCACCACAGCCGCCTACCCCACATAAACCAGGATTGTGCCCTGGGGTGGCTGGCACTGCATTCTCGTGCCCCCTGTGCACTGGAGGCACATCCCCAACTCTACCACCTCCCAGGCCCCCACCCCAAAATTGGGCCTTGGGGCCCAGCATCACCCCTGCCCAGCCCAAGTGCTGGGATTGGGGACCAGATCCAGCACATGTGACCCAGAGCTCCCCAATGGGCCGGAGATTTGACAGCAGGGGAGTGGTGCCACTGCTCTCCCACAGCCATATTTCCAAACCTATGGGGAGCCCCATGGGCCAGATGGCACAATGCTGCGAGCTGGATCTGGTCCATTGGTTGGAAGTTGAGCACCCTTGGACTAGAATATTTCAGAATATGTTGCCCAAAATAAATTTACTGAATGTCTGCTGCTTGTTAGTGTGCCTGACAAGATACAGAGACCTAATGTTAGAATCATAGAAAGTTAGGGTTGGAAGGGACCTCAGGAGGTCATCTAGTCCAACCGCCTGCTCAAAGCAGGACCATCACCAACTAGATCATCCCAGCCAAAGCTTTGTCTAGCTGGGTTTTGAAACCCTCCAAGGATGGAGCTTCTACCACCTCTCTGAGTAACCTGTTCCAGTGTTTTACTACCCCCCTAGTGAGGAAATTCTTCCTAATATCCAACCTAAACTTCCCTAGGTGCAACTTGATAACAGGATAATCACTGAAGTTAAACACATGCATAAGTAGATGCAAAATTTGGGCCAAAGACAGTTAGCTCTTTGGGACATAAACAGTCTTTATTTATTCTAATTTTTGAACATGAAATAGAAGTGTATTTTTGTTCCGGACACAGCTATGTGGAAAAAAGAGAAGGCTCAGGTCATATATCATCAGTATGATTGTCAAATGAATTCAAATTCCAGCATCCTTATTAGAAGGAGCAGTGAGAGTAAGGCAGAAAGAAGCTAGGTTAAATTTCACACTTCAGCTCGAGCTCGCAAAGTTGTCCATTATGAAAATTATCTTTAAAAAAACAGAATATATTTAATATTTAATTTTCATAAACATTAAGTATTAAATACTGGGAATATATTTTAATACTCCTAATTAATCAAAATGTTTGAATAGTTGCCTAACTTGAAGATTTTAAATAGTTTTACTGACTTCCATGATGCTACTCCCATGGTCAAAGTTAAGAAAACATGCTTAACCATCTTCTTGAATCAAGAAAATAGTCATTTTTCCTAGTCTTCAAGTGATATCCTGTTCTACATATCCTTTCCATAAGGATATTGATACAAACCCAACACTTGTTTTAGACAAGCTTTTGTAAGGCCTGATATTAATGGAAATATTTTCATTCATGTTCTCTAGTAATATTTTGAATGAAAATATACTTTTGCTTAGGTTTCAATGTTATCCAACATGGATAATATTTACTACCCAAACACTGTAACCCAAATATTGCAATATCATGTATAACTGGAAAGTTAAACTTTAAAAAATAAGGAAGAATCAATCAGCTTTTTCATTGTCCCAGATGAGTACCATGCACAAACATCAGTAAAATATATGAAAACACTGTTCCATTTTAATATTTATGTAATGATGGGTAAAACTGGTGAGTATTTTTAACTGTAATATTCCATCTAACATTGTCTCTGAAAATCTAATTTTTGGAAGAAAGCAAAAAGGAATGGTTTCATTTCTCTTTTTTGCCCCATAATTTATTGATTTTGTAGAAAGGATCCCAAACACCTGTTATTAACTTATCAGTCTAATGCCTCATGACTGGACACAAGCTCTTACTGTGATCATTAATACATTTTTCTAGTATCCAAAGGTCACACAGGGAATCACTGGAATTCCATGTGTTCTGCCCTATGCTGGAAAAAGGAATGTGCTCTACACGCCCATATTAATTTCCTTAAAACTATTTCCAAATATCTCCACTCATACAAATGCAGCCGACAAATCCTTGTCTAGCACAAGTGGTGTTTAAAACAAATAAAATAAACGCCTTATATAATACTTGCTGGACTCTCCGCATTCACAATACTATACAAACAAGCTAGGGGAAGCTACATGTAAAATCAATATGTTTGTTTCTTGTTATTCATTCGAGTAACTTTCTTCAGAATTAAAATTCTAGATTATAAACTCCTTGGGGGAAAATTTAATATTGGGTCACTGTAAAACACCATGCACATATCAAATACATAAATAAAAATATGTGCTAATATATAAATAAAATAAAATAAAATAAAATGACTTCACTCACATATTAGCAATATACTTTATTTCTAGAAATAAAGGAAAAAAGAAAAATAAATGATAGTATGCTGTGCATGGGGCAGAGAGGGGTTAATTCCATTCTTTGCAGTATTATCTTCTATTAGATCTCCTATCACAAAATTTGAAATAAAGGATTTTAATAACTGTGATTCACAAATGACTTATTCTGATGACAGGAAGTAATTCCTGGAATACTTTCATAAAAAGCCATGCACTAGACAGAAAAATAAAGTGGCTGAGACTAGCTGTACCATCAGACTTTCTAATGCAAACATTAGCCTTTCTAATACAAACATCATTGTCTTTTCTCTTCCACATGAAAGCCTACACACTTCTGCGCGACTCCCATGAGCTGCCTCTAATATAAGCAGCAAAAACAAGAGCACGATCCTTTGGAATGAAAAAAGGGAAAAAAATTCAATTCAAGGGGACTTAGTGATTCAGTCTATAAAAATTCCCTTGATACTCAATATATTAACTGGATAAACCCACACAAACACAGGTCCCAGGATAGCTGATTTTGAGGAAGTTGTAGCTTCAAGGCTAAAGTGAAAAATAGGAAGACACTGATAAACCAGTGTGACTGTGGGGAAGTCGGGCTCTTTATGCTTCATTCAACATAATGGCAAACAAGGCAGGACTTCACTGGAAAAAAGAGAAACCATACCAGTGATATCTCCAGATAAAGACAGAAAATGTCTATTGATTTGTAATCATCACGAGCCTAGCCATTCTCTCATTAAAGACAGTTTCAAGGTTCAATACTAAAATGATCTAAATGTCCTTTATGCAATTGCAGGGCACGAAGCAGCTCTCAAGTTGCACACGTGTGATTAAGATAAGACACTCCAAGTCTCTTTTAGGGGAGGGGTTGCAAGTGTTTATTGAACCTGATTCCTTCCCACACTCAAACTTGATGCCACAGCAAATTTGTTGCGGCTTCTCAGCCATCTCAGTCAAAGAACCCCAGATCAAAATGCAAGGATGCTAGTCTGAGAGACGAAGACACTTCAGGGAAGGGGTCTTGTACCTTTAAGTGTTCTGTACAACACCATGCACCTTTACAAAAGCTATCTATATGATAACCACGTTTCTCACAAACTAAGTTGACAATTTAGTTGTGGTCAATGTATTTTGCATGATGTACAAAGGGAATTTGAGAAGTTGCTTAAGCAGGAAAAGATTCTTACTGTGATTCAATACAGTATTTTTTAGGGAAGAAAAGACTAGTTTGTGATCACTTCTCTGTCGAGTATTATGCATACCAATGTTTATGTTGTGTGATCTGTTCCTTGTGCCAGAAAAAGGAAAAAGAATGTAGAATGCTTAAAAGTGAAAGTAGTCTATCATGTACACATCCTCTTCTCTAGACTGCACCTCCTCACTCCCCTCAGGTCCCTCAATTTATACTCAATATGCAGCATGATCATTTACTCACAGCCCTGAATAAGCAGACCGAACAAACAAACACACACAGGGTTGCATCTGAATGGGGTTCACCTGCTTTTCTTCAGCCTGGCAAAATTCAAAGTAAGGATGAAAAGAAAACAGTGGAAAAAGCACATTCATCTGCTTCACATGGTTGTTCATCCTTGAATGCATCACTTTAAATTCTCCTCCCCTGTGCACAAAACTGCCATGTGTTTAGCTGTACATCCCTGCCACTCTGGTCTGTGGTCCACGTAACTGATCTTCCCTCTGGCTTTGTTTTGTAACAGATCCTTATTGCACGAGGAAAGTCTCTTGGTATCTGAATCCCTGCCTTCCTTATCTCCAAGCTCCAAGTGCTAGTGGTAAACAGAAGCTCTCCACAACCAGGCGCCTGGCTGCAGCAAGTGTAATAGTAGAGCTGTTCCTCCCACCGATCCGCAGGTAAAGTCACAAGTTCATGTACAATCTGATTCCTGAGATTTCCCAGCTCTTCTGAACCCTCAGTTAGCTTGGCAGACCTTGTAAATTTTTCAATACCTGGCACAGCAGCAACATCCACCTCCTCGACCTTTAATACAGATAAATCACAGCAGTCCAGTACCAGCAGAAAATCCTCACTCCCATGATTCTCTATGTCACAGCACTTCTTTGAACTAGAAATCCCAGAAGCCTGTGCCCTGTTGCTATGGTTACCATTTTTATCAGAAGTATCTTTTTCACCTTTACCACAGACAGCAAAATCATTATATCCAGTTTTAGATGAGCAGGCACTTGCATTTGTCACAGGAATGTGGCAGAGTTCAAATGCCCGAATTTTGAAGGTTTCATCTGACTGTGGATGGCAGGCTCCTTCCACACTACTGCCTACTTTCCTGCAACTGCTTCCAGTCTCAAAGAAGAGAACTATACTGCCTTCAATAACTTGGCTTTTAAAATCCACATCCAGGTCCAATATGTAATGCTTCATCAGCATGTGGCTAGTGTTGGCCATTAGGGGCAAATCATCCTTACTAGGGTCTAGCTGTGTCTCCATGTTCCAGTTGGCTAGGCAACAGCGTTACCACTTCTTAATCACTTCTTATACAACATGCTTCCAGTAGCAGCCAGGGTTTTCAGCCTCCCAGTGCTATAATCGTTGATTAATATAAGTTAGTATAAGGAACTGCTGTTTCACCACTTCTCTTACTCTGTAGAGAGGAAAGCAGAGAACATTTTAATCAAGTGCAATGGTTGTATTACAAAGTTATCTACCTTCCTCTGCTAGTAAAAATTCAAAACCTGAATTCCTATGCTGTGACACTGAGCCTGTTACCCAAGAAAGGACTTCAGGCTTCGATAGCTAGAGTAGCAAGCAGACTAATTTATCAGACAATTACAGAATATGTCAGAAAGAACCAGTTTCTAAAAATAATAATGTTTACCAACACAGAAGGATATAAGCTTCAATATAGCTAATGACAGCCCTCTTTTCGCTCCAACACTCTTGGAAAGAAAAATTGCTATGCAAGACCAAACTTACTTTATTACCACATATCTTGTTTTTAAAAATGCTAAATGTATTGTTTCTAATTCCTTGCCTGAAATGAAGGTGATTTTTTTTCTACTGTGATTCTAAGTAACAAGTGTGAATGAAAGCTAAATGGTCTCATATGTTTTATACTTTGAGAGTAATAATTTAATACATACAATGCAACTCCAGGGATTAATGTACTTTTCACATTATGACTGCTCTCATATCAGCACTTCTAGTAAATTACAAGAAAATGAGCCAATTTACTAGAAGTGCATTCTAAGTATTCCTTTGAGATTGCTCATGGAGATTTTTCAAATTTATACTTAAATACTCAAGGTATATCATTACATCTTAATAGCTAGAAACCCATTAACATTCTGGATAATAGCCTTCTTATGGCAAACAAAAGATCTTTTCACTGGAAAGGAAAATATGCAAATACCTATAAAAAGGAGAAAAATTAAAATGCATCAACATCTGTCACAACAAAAGGCAGAAGTTCTTCATACAACTTTTGAACTATTGTGGATTTTTTGTTGCACTATAGTGATCAAGCTAACATAAAATTGTACAAAATAGTTTAGCTCACTGATGCTTTCTTTGCTGAACCAAAATATTTTCTAGCATATATTATATTCTATTTCTATCCATGTACTGAGTATGTATCAAGAAACCTCTGGACAAGAAAATTAAAAAAACCTTTCAACTCAAGCTTTTACTGTTCCATCTCTAGGGGAGACTATTGAATAATATAACCTCTAAATGTGTGTGTGTATCATTCTTTACCTTTCTAAATGTGTTCGTTGTTAGTTTTGGTTTCTTTTGAAACTAGCTCATTTAAATCTCTATTATTCAAGAGTTTAAAAAACAAATTAAGGCATACTACACCATATTCTGGAGACCAGAAATAGAAATTCTAGAAACTAGAAATTCTAGAAACCCACCATTAGGGCATCTAAGTCATGTTCCGTTAGGTCAGGAACACTGTAAAACAAGTATCTAAGCTCCTTTCAAAAAAGTCTACAGTGGCCAGGCATTCTTGAGGTATTGTTTCACATCCAGAAAGACCACACTGACCAAGATCACCTGAGAGATTTGCGCATTGGTCTCCCATGCAGAAGTCAGCCTCCTCCATAGCTGCTTGTTTCTTTTGAGAGCCTGTGGAACCTCTATTTAGTCCTTTTCCCATGGACATGGAGCTCAACTATCCTTCACAGCCTCAGGGAGACTGCCCAGAATAAAAGTAGTACAGCTTGAGGCTCTATTATCTTTTCTACGACTTTCCACCTCATAGGAATATCCCCCAAAAGGAGGATTTCTCAGTCCTGATTGCGCATCTCTACTGAGCCACTAGGATGCAGGTGGCAGCAAAACCAGGCTGACCACAAGAGGCCTTTACCAGTGGAAATTCCTAGTACGTACAGAATAATTTAGAAGATACCTTTGTTGAGGTTTTCCCTGCTAGTTTCTTCCTGATGGTATTTCCATCTGAGAGAAGTTTCCCCTGTTTAATTCTTTTACTATTAATTATAACCTTTTGTGCCACTCTTGATGCTTACATACTATAACCTTTGCTGGCGTTTTTGATGCTTACATGCTATGAATATTTACAGACAGTTATTGTGCTCCCCTGCCTTCTTAATTATCACTTAGCCAAGCTTTCTGAACACAATCAGCTCTTCTGGAATTGAATCCTTCAGCCGGATGCATTAATACAGACTCCTAAACTAATGCAGTGTCCCAGTGAAATCAATACCTTTGCACAAGTGTAGGAATTTGCCCTAGCAGATCCAGATGCAGACCTAGCTCTCTCAATTGTGGGTCTGACTTCACCATTTCCCTCCCCCAGTCGCCCTACTCTTCTCTATTCGTTTATCTTATATGGCCCCTATTACTGAAGCAGAAAGGGCCTCTGTACTCGGAAAAAACAGATGGAATAGGAATATTTGGTGAGCATTAGTAACAAAAACCACATCAAGATTCAGAAAACTGAACACGAACAGAAGAGCCGTGTCTTCTATTCATCCATCAAATAATGACCCTACTCTCTACCATGCTTTGTGTTGAGTCCCAACTGAAAATATAAGCAGGAGAGCCAAAAGTTCTAAATACTACAATGTGTGCTCAGATATTGATTTTGCAGTTAACTTCATTTTCAGTCATGAATGTTATCTGGATTGTGGTCCTAACTACCATAACTTTCTGTCTGCCTTCAACAAATATCCTAAGTTTGGGGAGGCAGTGTTAGACAAGACAGCGTTTGGATCTCCTGATGAAAACCATTATATCAAAAGTAGGAATTGTCATTATCTCTTTGCCTCAACTTTCCATACAAAACATAAATAAGTATTATTATCTGTACCTCACAAGGATTTTTGTACACTACAACCTATACTAAATTCTCAGCTACTTTCGTGAGGCATACCATGGACTATCCTATAATATCCTAAATGGAAGTTTTGTGCACATAGAACAAAATGTAATGTTTAGAAGATGGATTAATGTATTCATAATTAGGAAAATGTGATTAAAAGGTGACAAAGAATATTGTATGACTTCGAGTCCTGAATATGCTCTTACACTGAATTTTAATACCATTCCTCTGGTAAGACTGTGTAAACAAGATAGATGTATTTATGTTTAACTTTTTTCTATATATATACTTTACGTGCTCCTCCCTCATCACATGCACTCTTATTATCTCACCACCTTCCAAAATTAAAAATTTGCACATTAAAATCTCAGTCACTCTCTTTTCTGCCCAGCCAGAAAGGAATGGATTTAGTTTATTTTGTGTTTATGGGCTTCAGGCTTGGGTCTTCCTTTTTTTTTTTTTGGTTTGTCTTATTTTTTTAAACAGGGTCTTACTGTAGGAAGACTGTCCAAAGCCATGGGTTTGGGGTGTTTTTATGAAAATGCTGAGATTTTACAGCCATCCTAATATTTTCAGTGGCAATCCCAACTATATGGGCCCACCATCAAGAAAGCTCTGTCCTCTGTTCAAAAGTTGGTCTCAAGACTGACACTTCCACTGCTGCAGTGGAACGTGGATGCCATTTGAATCCTAGAAAACAATACAATCCACTTACCAACCTGAGACAATCTGCTGCAAGACTCTAATGAGCAAAAACAAAAAATTAAATTTGGCTCCAGTACTCAGCAGGGAAATAATGAGACAGCAGAACTTAGATTTTTAAAGTTTCAGGGTTCAGAGATTTACAGTGATCAACCTGGAGGTCATAAATGCATGAAACAGGCTATAGACTCAACTCTGAGAGGTGGTGGTATACGGCATTTTTTCATGGAATCCATTCCAGAAGCAATGAGGAATCCAAGCGAGCATAACCAATTTGACAATTTACTGACAATTTGAGGGCAAAAAGTTCCATGTCAAAGCAGCAGCAAACAGCTGAAATTGCTTTCCTCCTCTCACCAGCACCACCCTCAGTGATTCAGAGCTTCAGTTGTTTATATCCGCCATACCATTCAGTAAAGAAGAGCTTATGCCACTTGGATTTGATATGAAAGTGATGTGGGTCTGTGCAGCTGGTATTTTTCCATCCAGAAAAATGTCCCATAGTATTACAAAAGCTTCCTGTATTACAAAAGCATTGAACAAGTTGGGGAGGGATGAACCACAGCATGTGTTCAACCACTGAATGGGTTCCAGAGATAACTGTTCTGGAGCAGAGAAAAAGGCCTCCAACATAACGCTAACTGAAATTTGAGACATGTTGTGCTAGCCCCTAATCCAGAAGCACAAAACCTACATTAGCAAATGAAGAGCGTATTTGTCTATCCATGTTGCCTCCCCTAAAGCAGCTCTATACTGCTTTAGGTTTGGGAGCTAGTAAAGACAGAGCTAAGAAAGGACCGCAGTTCAATGGCAATGACAGTATTTATCTTACATATCTTTGTCTGCCCATGCCCCCTGAAAGGGCTCCCAGGTATTAAAATACCCTAGAGGAGTTTGAAACAAAAACATTAGCATGTTTCTCGGTTAACTTACTTAGAAAGGAAAGGTCAGATAAGAATAGTAGTTGGAGATACTGCTGCAACAAGCAAGCAATTATTTCTTAGTGCATAGTGCCTGCACTACAGAGTAGTCTTGGAGTAGCTTTTACTCTTTACATATAAAGTGTTGAGGACCTGAGGTCCAAGTAGCTTCGGATACCTTTTCATGGGATGAATCAGTCACAGACAAAAGCTTTTTTTCCTCTATAGTACTTCTATAATTTTTGAAAATTGAAATGCAAAGAAGAAACGTGTTTATGTTTACATCCATTGTGTTTATGTTTACATCCATCGCCTGTAGGCAAGCTGTTAGGAAGGCCAAGGCGGACATAGAGCTCGGATTAGCGTCCAAGATTAAGGATAACAAAAAGTCCTTTTTCAAATACATTGGGAGGATGAAGAAGGCACCGGGTAATGTGGGACCCCTGCAGGATACACTGGGCAATCTGGTGGTTGCGTCAGAGGAGAAAGCGGACCTCTTTAACCAATTCTTCACCTCC